TGGTTGTGTATATTAGGTGGATCGATGATGTGGGCTATAATTTGCCATATTATGCAAAAGCAATGGCACAAGTTCACATACAACAAGAGCCTACAATTAGACAGTATAATACTATATAAACTCCTCCTTTTGTGGATGCTAAGGAAGACTAAGTTTTGTGTTATTTTTCAGTCAAATTTTTGAGTGGTATTATACAGTTTCTTCTTTGACTCATGATATTTATTTTCTTATTAGACTTATATTATTTCACTTTTTCTTGGACTAAAAATATGTCTTAAGTTTTGAATAGAATTGTTGGTTCATCCTAAACCAATCATTTGAATATCAACTTTTGTATTTTGTGGACTATATTGACTTTCATTGACTTGAGCTCAGCTCAAAAACTACCCAACCCCAACCTTTTCCAACACCTCAATAGGCAAACTCTCAAGAATTAAGGTACTAACTCAAACTTAGCATCATGAACCACTATTGAGAACCAAATTAAAGTTACTTTAATATTACTGTTTGCAAATAAACTAGTTTCACCATCAACCACTTTGGGGTTGACCATTGTTTAACCAAACAATTTTGTAAACACATTCCTCACAATCACATCAAAAATTTACATGAGTATCAAATGCCAACTCTATTCGACAAAATGCAACATAAAAGCCATACCCCACAAATAAAGATTTACAACACTAACTTTGTTCATAACATAAACAAGCTCATGCCATTCTCTATCTGACCAAACTCAAAACTAATCCAATATTAAACTACTCAAGGAGCAATAGTAAAGTTCCCCAAAAGAATTAAGCATTGTAACTTAAATCTTTTAATAGTAAGCCTAAATAAAATGGTTTAGCACTTCATCACTATCCATTTTACAACTCACCACTTGTAAGATCATCATAACTAACATGCATCAAAATAGGGACTTTTGATTGCATAATATGAACACAAGCAATAAGATCACTCTCATTGTAAATTATATTTTGAAGAAGAAAAACTGATTTAGATGTTTGATCCTTCGTCTTTAATAATTCTCTTTTCAGACTTAAATATGATTAAACCTAAAGCTTTTATTCGCACATAATGATTATTTGAACAAATAGACTAATCCTTATTGTCTTGATTGATCCACTTATAATCATGCTTAGGAAGGATTCATTAGTGCCATACTAAATAGTTATAGATCAGCATATTTTCTCTCATTCCAAATCTAAGAAAGGTTTATTTTTTATTTTTTGAGTTGTCTTGCATAAGTTGTTTAATATATTATTTACAATCTTTAATAGTTAAGTTTTATCTTTGAGTTTTTTAAACTATCATAATCTTGGTGGTTCTTATCCTCTACTAATTTATTGAATGATAATTTACTTAGAATACTTTTTTGTTTTAATATAAGACTTATTCATTGATAATTTAGTCTCTAAAATATCATTGTCTCTAACTTTGATATTGTTTATTTATTGATGTTTGAGTTTGGGGCAATATAAGTACATTAGCTTCAACACTTTATGTGTATAGTAAAATCTTTAGTTATAGGATAAATACTACTCTTAAATTTGGAGTGTATAATAAAATCTTTAGTTATAGGATAACTACTACTCTTGAATTTGGACTTCCAGGAAGGTCACCCAACTTAGTACTATTCACACTTAACCCCAAATATCTCAAAATTTTTAACCGATTGGAAAAAAGTGTGCACTTTTATTTATGAGTCTTTTCCTTTTATATTTAAACCCCATGAATTTTCTATCATGTCATTCTCTTTAGTTATTTATAACTTGCCATGTTCCTTATTTTATTAAAAAGGTCAATAACTCTAATTGGTCTCCATTAAGTTTGGGGAGTTTATGCAGGATTTTCTAGCATGGGAAAGGATGGTACCAACATAAAAACTCAAGCTGGAAGCCCTGAATATTCTTCAACAGTTGGATGAAGTTCTCTCGCTTGTGTCGAGTCAGGAGCAACAATCCCTGGCACTGTCACCTCAGGTACCTCTGTCAAATTGAAAATGGAGGAGGATCAGCCACCAAGGAAATAAATGCTACAGGGTCACCAAGGACAGAGATCAAACTAGGAGTGATTGGCACCAGTGGTACCTTGGCTACTATTGCGGTTGGTACTTCAACAGCTACAGCTTCTGTCAATCATCATCAAAGAAAAGGAAAACAAAGTTTACTCGGAGGATGATAACCAGAGGCAGTAAGTTTTAATTAGAAACTCTTATTAGAAAGAAAGCAGTAGTCCAGTCATAGCACAAGTGTTTTTTAACAGTGCTATGTGCTGTTTTTTAACAGTGATGAAAACGTTTTAGTGATTTTTTGTTTTTTAGATGGCACATGGATGATTTCGCAATTAGCATTTCTTTTGTATGTTTTTTTATTGGCATAAGCTATTTCGAAAAGGGTCAAAGAATTTTGATGCAAATGTTGTCTTGCTCTCATCCCAAAGCTGCAAGCGGATACTGACGACAAATGGTTAAGTAGAGTAGACTGATCCTAGGAGAAAGAATTGGAGAGCAGCACAAAGGTAGCCGGGGTGGCGGATCCAATAACAACTGCCTTGGTCGCCACCAAAATTGCCCTTTTTACATCGCCATGGAGCTTGCACGTGCTCAGGAACACGAGCCACGCTGCCTCGTCCCCCTCAAACGGCATCGTCTCGAACAAATCCTGCGCATCGTCCAGCAATCCAACCCGTCCCAAGACATCCATCACGCAAACGTAGTGATCGATCACAGGCTTTATTCCAAAGTCTCTAACCAAGCACGCAAAGCAGTGGCGTCCATGCTCGAGATTTCCAGCGTGGCTGCAAGCCGTGATCACTGCCACCGACGTGATCTCGTCCGCTTCCACGCCCTCCATTGCCATGCTGCGGAAGAGATCCATCGCTAGAGCGTAGCTTCGTCTCGATTGAGCGTAAGTTGATAGCATCGCATTCCAGGTAACTCGATCCTTGCCGCCGGTGATGGAGTCGAAGATCTGTCTCGCTGTGTCGAGGCTGCCGCAGCGGCCGTAGAGATGGATGAGGCTTGTCGTGATCGCCACCTCCATGTTGATCGAAGACGGATCTTGTTCTTCCGCAAGCAGCAAAGAGTGGAGGAGTTTTCCATCCGCAAGGGACGCGATGCTAGCGCACGACTCGATGGCGATGATGAAGCTCACGCGGTCGGGCCTCACTCCCTCTAGATCCATGGACTTGAAGAGGCGGAGCGCGAGCAAGGAGAAACCATTGTTCGCGTAGGCGGTGATCATTGCATTCCAAGTCACTCGGTTGCGAACTGGAGTACGATCGAAGAGTTTCTCGGCGTCGTGGATCATTCCAGCGCTGGAGAAGGTCGCGATGAGCGATGTCCATGAGACAACATCGTGTTGGGGTGATTTGGAGAAGACACACAGCGAAATATCAATATCCCCGGACTGGGCATATGCAGCAGCGATGGAAGTCCAAGACACCACGTCCCTTTTGGGCATCAGATCAAACTTAGTTTTTGCTAGATCGAACATCCTAAGCTTTGTATACATGCTCAAAAACGCATTCTCTACGTTTACCTCGCCACAGAGCCCAATCGAGATGAGTTCCTCGTGGATGATCTTCCCCGCTCTCCGATATGGGAGGCTGCCGCATGCATCGATCACGCTGGAGAAAGTAAACGCGTTTGGAGCGACGCCATCCAGATCCATTTTCTGGAAGAGGCAGAACGCCTCGCTCGGTCTGCCCAGCTGGGAATTGGCGACGATCATGGCAGTCCACGAAACCACGTCTCTCTCGAGCATGGCGCGGAAGATCTCGTAAGCTCTGTCTATTTCACCGTTTTGGGCGTAGGCACTGACGATAGAATTCCAGGAAACGATGTTGGTCTGAGCCATTCTATCAAACACCATTTTCGACATTTGCAAATCCCGGTTCTGAGCAAATGCAGAAACAATGCTGTTCCAAGATATCACGTCCCGATCTTTCATCTTATCAAAGAATCTCTTAGCGTGGTCGATCTCGTTGTTTCTCACAAATCCAGCGATCATTACATTGCAAGCAACGAGATCAACCCAAGGCATATCTTGCAGCAAGACTTGAGCTTTGTGTAGATCGCGGCTATGGAGATAAGCCGCGAGCATGAGGTTCCAGGAGTAATTGTTCTTCCTTTCTGGTGCGATGGCATCGAATACGGTCCTGGCCTGGCGGGCATCGCCGCAGCTGCCATACATTTGGATGAGAAGATTGGAGAGAAGAGTGTGCGATTGGAGGAGGCGATGGCCAGCGCTCTTGAGCAGCGTGTGGATCCTCCGACCCTCTTCCACAGCTCCGGCCTTGATGCATTGCCGCAGCAAAGTGGCATACGATCTCGCCTCAATCGAGTCTCCAACTTTGTACCAAGAAAGATAGCAACTGCGAAAAATAATAATATATATATATATACTAAAGCTTAGAAACCATGGTTATTATTAACCATTAGTGCTATACCATGCCAAAAAATATACGTAAAGTACTCATTTTAAAGTTTGTAAGCTGTAACAGTTTTAGGCGAAACGATTGAGAGTGTCGTCTAGAGCAAACGCAGGTGGTGGAGCGGTGCGAGGGCCCAGCAGTGGCTGGAGAGCCTTGACCACAATGCCCATGCTTGGCCGGAAGTCGGCTTCGTATTGGACACACAAGGCAGCAACTGCAGCAAACTAGAGATGGAAACCACAACGCCATTGTCAATAGCCTCCAGACTAGAGATCACTTCTTACTTTGGCCAGGCCTTTAGGAGGGTACTCTCCCTTGAGATTTGGATCCGCGCACTGCGTCACTTTGTCTTCGGTCAGCCTCGGCGTTGCCTAAGACAAAGGAAGAACAAACCAGCCAGCGAATGGGTTACCAATGGAAATGAAAATAAGAAGGGAACGAAGAAGAAAAATCCCACCCATGTCACCAGACTTTGCTGGCCGCGAGGCATTGTAGGATCAACTGGCCTCCTTCCCGTGAGAAGCTCCAGAAGAACAACTCCAAAGCTGTAGACATCGCTCTTCTGAGTTAATTGCCCGGTCATTGCATACCTGCGAAGATCGAAGATCGTCGAATGAAACACAACTTTTCTCCCGCTTTGAAACTCACTCTGGTGCGTGGTAGCCGAATGATCCCAGAACCCGAGTCGAATGCAACCGTGAAGCCATGTCCGGTGCCTGGTTGCTCGGGTTGTAGTCTCCAATCTTAGCTGCGTAGTTCTCGAACAGCAAGACGTTGCTCGACTTGATGTCTCGGTGGACGACGGGTGGCTGGGCCTTCTCGTGCAAATACTCTAGCCCTCTGGCCGCTCCAACCGCAATCTTTACTCTTTGCATCCAGTCCAGCACAGGCCCTGGCCTCGATCCAAGCACACCTTTCCTGCCTGTAACGCTCTTGAGACATGATCGCAAAAGAAAAACGCAAGAGAAAGACAAGTTTTTCCGACCGTGAAGAATATCATGGAGCGATCCCATCTCCGCGAACTCAAACGCGAGAACACGCAGAGGGCCGTCAATGCAGTATCCAAGGAGCTCCACCATATTCTCGTGTTTGAGCCTCGACTGCCTTGACACCTTAGAAGAGAGATCACCAAACAACTCTTTAGGAAGAACTGGCGCATACCTGAGAGACGAAGTCCTCATGCGGTTGCGGGCTCGAATCGAGCTTCTTGAGAGCCACGGACTGCCCATTGCGCAGCTTTGCAAGATAAACTCGACCATACGAGCCCTCTCCAATGAGACGGCTCTGGTCGAAATTCTCGGTGCTCTCCAACACCTCCTCGACTGGGATTGGCGACACAGCAATGGGTTGTACCCGACCTTGCCAAGTATTAGGCGCTACATGATCTAAAAGGAGCAGAAGAATAAACAAACACTCTAGCCACTAAGAGCTCTTACCTCTTAAATTCCCATGAGCCGTTTGTGAGTGATGGCTATGGTGGCGATCGTGATCTTCGTTCCTGCCAGGAAAAGTACCACAGCAGCTTAAGCACGACATCTTTTTAAGGGATACAAACCCTATAGGACTAAGGAATTGGAGGGTGTTCCTTCCAAAGCATAGTATCTATCACCAAAATTAAACTTAAGTGGAAATAGAGATAATACTTAAAGGTGTTAGAAATGAGAAGAGAAGTCTTTTTTAAGATATCACTCATTATTTACCTTTTGAATTTCTTCTTTACCTTTTGTAATTTCTTATATTTTACTTTTAACAAATAAAATCTAAGCCATATAAACCTTGTACTAAAAATTGCCAAGCCAATGCTGGGCAATTGGCAAATTTCATGCCATTTTCAAGAGGTTTGCTGAGATTAGTTATGTTTGCTGCTTGATCAACTCAAATATTTTCTTCACCAAACCTGAATCGATTCACCATAGCTTAGTATTGTTAAGGTACTGGATATTTTAGGTTGGAGTTGTTATTTGATATTATCACTTAATTTAGAAGAAGTTATTATTTTAATATTTAATAATTAGTATTTGTACTAATAGTTTAAGTTATATATTTATATTAAGCTTTTCATTATTAGTTTATGTAATTATAAGAAATGCCCTATATTATTTTTGGTGTAATTTATAGATAAAATTTATTTTACCAATATCTATTTTTTTCACTCAATATTCAAACATGATGATGAATCCAAAGTTTAAGATTTGGATCCCTCCTATACAAAGGATGAAAGACTTTAGAATTTTAATGTTTAAAGAATTATGTGTAATTGCAACTTGATTATGATGTTGTAAAGCTTCCCATTTACAGTATCACTTATATAACTGAGAATTGTATATTCATGATGATGGCATTGCTGTTTAATGTTGATCTTTTGCTTTTAATTATAATGCCTTTAAGTATATTGCATTTTCTTCCTTTGACCAAGTATTTATAATCTTCATATATTTGTTGTTTCTCATTTACTAATATGAAATCAAGAAAGATTTAAAGAACTTGAATTGTAATTATAAATTTTGTATATTTGTACAGGGCATGGTTAAAAGAACAATATAACATCTAATCTACAACAAAATCTCAGAGAAAATTAAATCTCAAGTTTTAAGTGGGTTTAATCAAAGAATTTATGGAAAAAAAAGTTCTATATACTAATGTAAATAGGTTTCTGAACAAGCTTTTATGTTTAAATGACCAAACACTATAGATCTATAATTGGTTTTCTTAAGCAAACCTGTAGAGGAATTGAATATATTTAAAATATGCTTGCAGATTCTAGGTTATTTTAATATCTAATAGTTTGTGTTCACATTTAGATTAATATTTTTATTTATAATTTATAAACTTACTTTCTATTATAAATTCCACTATTGATATGCAATAATATTAATCTTGATTAATAAATTATAAATATGGTTATAACTATCATGCTACTGCAAATTAATTAAGAGATAAGTATTTTCCCTCATATTTTTGGTTTGCTTAAGCAAAGCTGTAGAGGTAGTGAATATACCTAGAATATTCTTGGAAATTCTATGATATTCTACCATCTAACAGTTGTTATTTATTTAGATTAATCTTGTATTTATAATTTATAAACATGTTTATAATTTTAAAACTTTCTTAAACCCTTTCTAGTATATTCTTTATTCTATCATCTTATGCAATAAAATTAATCTTGTGTTTATAAATTACAAACATGCTTATAATTATAAACTTTATTTGATCAATTGGATTAATAAGTAATAATAAAACTACTATTAACCAAACCATGCTACATACAACCCATAACAATTTATTTATCCCTTCACCATGGTGTGCCAGCTACCATCTTTGTTTGGGTTTTATTGACGGCTCCATCAACATTGCATCACACTCTTTCCTTGCAACACCTTAGAAAAGCTTTACTCTCATTTTGATTAAATTCTTTGGATCCATGATATTCAAGCATATGCAGTGCTCCTATTTCTCAGGCAGTTCCCAAGCATCTAAATGAAAAGAAACCTTCCACTCCTAATACCCTCTCCACAATAAAATTCCATTCCCATCCCTAAAACAACATGTCATTGATGAAAAAGTCAAAGAAGAAGATACTTAAGGAGGTAAGCTCCAAAGCCTCCACAACTTTTCATTGCCAAGCTTCAATTTCCTCAAAACAACTTGAAGATAGGGACTTCTAACTAGCTCGACCATCTTGGCTTAACAATTTTGTAAACAAAGTACCTTGTGAAGGCTATAAGATGAAACAAAAAAGCTATGAACTAGTGAAAAAACTATAGCACCTATAACCAGCATACTTTGTAGGGCACTCTCCAGTTACTCCAAATGAGTAGTGCAAGAAGAAGTGTGTCATTGTGACAGCGACGCCAGAGTACTTCTGAACTTGGGGCAGAAAACTTCTCAAGCAGCAGGCATGTTACTGAGCAAGTACGCGAGTAGTGGATTCCGTCCAGATTTCTCTCCCGGATCTGCGAGTGGAGCCTCTTCTCAGGTAAGTCGCCATGTGCCTTGAGTGCCATCATGAAAAGTCTGAGCGTTTGGCTGCCGGTTTGCTCGTAGCACTCAAGAGCAAAGGTTGTTCTCGGCATATCCCAAGAAACGATGTTTTGCTGCTCCATGCAAAGTCTCAGCGTTTGGAGGCAGGCCAGCTTCTCGTTGCATCTGATAGAAGACGTGCATGTCCCATGATGATCGTGTTCCAGGCAACCAACGTCGTGTTTCTTTGTCCTCCTGAACACTTCTGATGCTTCCACATGTCCACGAGGCTGCTTGCGACGAATGCATTGGCTCAATTTGCGAGGTAGACCAACCTATCCTGTTCTTCGTCCCATCCTGTCAAACAAGCCGCAGTGTAGACTTCGACCATACTTCCACAATTTTGCACTTGCTTGATTCCCGGCTTATGATGCTCTTGACTCTGGAGAAACTTATCTGGCCGCTATGCCCTGCTCTGCTTCTTCTCATCGAAGTTGAGATTTGAGCACCTGCAAGACAGAGAGCAAAAGTAGTACGTTACCTTTTCTCAAACCTTTCGTCTCAAGCAACTTCTCTGGCCTTTGAAGGTGCACTAACGTCTGCTCCCCCGTCACCTCTAGAGGATAGCTCAGTCAAATCGAAACTTGGTAGGTTCCTGCTCTATTTTCCAGTCCATGTTCCGAGCCAGCTGCGCAATAACTTCCAAGTCTGATGACTTCCACCAGTGGACCCTTGTATGTGATCTTCACCGTCCGTGAGCAAGACCCTGCTTGCAACTTCATCTCCTTGAAGATTGTTTGTACACAATCTTCCATGTGACAAGGCATGCACTGTGCTGACTTACGCGTCACTGCCAGTGTTGGCAGGACACTTTGAGGAGAATCCCAGAGTGTCATTGCTGTGTGAACCACGAGTGTGAGTTTCCAGCTGTTTCTTCTCAGTCAGAGAATCGTCCACCACAACTTCGATCTGCCACCCGGGATCCTGAAAGATCGCATTACTGCGTTGCTTCCTCCGAGAGAACATCCATCGCACGAGCAAAAAGCATGCGAGCAGCACCAAGATCGCAACCAAAACCCACAGAAGAAGCTGGAGCAGCGACCACGGCGTCCTCCGAACCACTGTAACTACTGCTGCGGGTGTTGGTGTGGCCACTGCTGCGTCGTGACCCTCGCGACGATGGTGGTGGTGGTGGTGGTGGTGGTGGTTGTGGCGTCCTCCATGGTGGTGACCATGGTGGTGACCATGGGGATGGTGGTGAACAACCAGAGGGGCTCCATCACCGTGATGATGATGGTACACTGCTGCTGCTGGAGCTGGATCGTGGTGGCGAGAATCAGGCGCTGGAGCTAGATGAGCAGGGTGGCCGCGAGCAGGGTGAACGAAAGCAGCTGGCGCTGGGGCTCGAACTGGAGCGTCACCTTGAAGAACTGGAGCTAAACCTGGCACTGGCTCGTGGGCTCCTCGAGGATGGTGTCCATGGTGGTGTGGTGGATGTGCTGGAGCTAGAGCTGGAGCTCGCGGGTGTGAAGCTCGGTGATGGCCGCCATGCCAGGGCGCTGGAGCTCGGCGGGCAAGCGTTGGGGCGGCGTGAGCGCGAGAGACCATAGCTTACCTGACGAGAGCTTCGACAATAGAAAAATCCAAGCGAGAAAGATTATAACCTAACCCTTGACTTAGAAAATAGAAAATAAAGAGGTACTTTTGGCTTTGTGAAAAAAACAAGTGCTGTGGATTGTCGGACTTGAACTGAGCATGCCAAAGAGCCCAAACCTAGATGTGAACAGCGATTTAATCTCACAATCACGAAATGCTCAATATTTCAACATCTTTAATTTGATGGCAACTCCTTTCCAGGCTCAATCCTAATGTACTTGCAGTGAACGAAACTTTTTTACTCGTTTGCAAAAATGTGGGAAAAAGAAACACAAGATAAATATCTATGCATTGCTCTGTTGACAGTCTCACGGTGCGACATCCATCCATAGCTCCCCCAGAGGTCAACACCAGTAAAATCAGTCAAAACGCCTGGAACGATCCAATAATCAAACATATTTTGATGGTGAGCACTCTACCATCTGAGCTATCTCCCCTTAGCAAAGAAACAAAAATGCTAAACTTTTCTCTTCACCATTCTAATACTCATCCTTGGAGATTCTGGCAGCTTTTGTTGCATTTCAAGAGCCTTTTGAGAGATGAGCTTTGGAAAGCCCACCATTTCCAGCAAGTTTCTATAGCCAAGAAGCTGCATCTGCAGGCAACCATGAAGAATGTTACTAATGCTTATAATAATAATACATATTATAGTAATAGTATTCACAAGAGGAGGAGGAAAAGGGATACAGTAAACATTTATCTATAATTATCTCAAATTCAAATAAAATACCAATATCTAATTCTTTCTCAATATTATAAAGCCCTTATATTAAGATATTGTGGTGTATCAAAATTTTAAGATTTGGATCCATTCCAAAAAGAGTCAAATACATAAAATATATATGCTTGTAAGGGATTAAAGAGTATGACATATGTATGGGAATTAGTTTATTGTGATGTTGTAAATCTTTCTATTTATA